TGAAGAACTAGAAGTCATTCGTTTTTTTTTCCAGGCGCTATACCATTTACGAGTCTTGACGATGCCCCGTAGCAGATGACATCGAAACGAAATGCATTTACCAATTGTTAAATGTAGTTATTTGGTTAAGAATAAATATGGACGACAAATTCGACAGTGTTCAACGGAAAAGTTAGTGGAATGTTTATAAGTCTCGAAAACTTGACGCAAACGTTAAACTACAGAGAAGAAAATGTCCTGCGTGTAGAGGTTTTGTTGTAGTTTTTTTGTGTATATTATGTAACTAGTGAGCTAGCCCAAATGACTTGACTCACTTTATAGTCCACCAATAGAAGGTTAACCAATCAGAAGACGTAGAACATTCAATCCGTCGTGTATAAAGGCGGCCATTTTTGTTTACTCTACGCGAATGTCCAGTTCCAGCTTGTCAGGCGAAGAGAAACAGAAGGACGAACTATGCTCTGCTACTTTTACCAATATATCCACTGCCAACCTGAACAACGCTTTCCTACTGTCTTCGAAATATTCACTGCTAACCTCTGGATTCTATACTCGAAGACGACCGTCATCATGAACAAAAGGTTTCGTCAGGGGTGTTAAAACGCAGTCAAACACTAAATGGACATTTGTACATCCAGCAGCAACATATTCGTAAACGGTCGGCCTAAAAAGCGCCCAATGCAAAAAAGGTTGTTGTCCATGCAAGATACGGTAAGGATAACATATAAAGGAAATTTTGGAAGTCGTCTGGTCTTTTCTAACTCACCTGCCATCGTCATCTGACCCTGCACCAAACTATTATTAAGCTTTTTCGATCGCCGAAAAAACCCTTTGATAGGCGAAAGCTTCCTCTAATGCAAACCAGATTAAAGAGTTCTTCGAAAACCTTTTCGCACCAAAACCTGCGAGATTTTTATTCCTGAAGGCTTATGGAAGAGTTGCCTGATAAGCGATAAGGCATTGCAAACAATGGCGACTATAGAATTGAATAAAACTTAATTGTACTTTAATTATTTAAGAATAAAGTCGACAAACGCAAACGGAAATTATTTATGACTCAGCCTCATAAAATGGTGGAGTTATGTATAGCGGCTCGGATTGAGGAATCGGAGAGCCGAGTTCGAATTCCAGTCGAATCCATTACATTCACTTACGTGCTAATACTCTTGGGTAAGGTATGAATCCTCTTCTTCTCCCCAGACCCAGCTATGGGTAAATAGCAGAACAAACCGGGTTCTATAGCCTTGTATGGCAACTGGTCTCCCGTAGAAAGATATGGCAACCTACTGCGGGGAAAAAATTCTGCCTCGTCAGTCATGTATCGAATGATACATGATCGCCAAAGAGTGTATAACGCAGTGCACATAACGAACTGACTATCCCTCTTCTTCTGCTCTCTACCGTTTCCCTTCAGACGTTTAGGATCATGACTCTCCACAACATCCTTACCCCCACCAAACGGAAAATATTAAGAATACTAGAAAAACTCGATAAAAAAATTATTACTTATTACCCTTACTACATTTGCTACAATCTTCTTCTCTCTGTCGTGTCTCTTCTGGAAGCCGAGGATCATGGCTCTCCACAACATCCGTACGTGCTGATACCCTTGGGAAAGGTATGACTCTTCTTCTTCTTTCCCCAGCTATGGATAAATAGCATGACAGACCTGGTTATATAGCCTTGAATGGAAACTGGTCTACTGCAGAAAGATATGGCAACCTACTGCGGGAAAAATGTGCCTCGTCAATCATGTATCGAAAGATACATGATCGCCTCAGCGTGTATCACGCATGGCACATAACGGACTGATATTCACTTACGTGCTAATACCCTTGGGAAAGGCATGAATCCTCTTCTCCTCCGCAGGACAGACCGGGTTCTATAGCCTTGGATGGTAACTGGTCTACCACAGAAAAGAAATGATCTACCTAAGAGTCTTTTTTTTTACATAAATGATCTACCTAAGAGTCTTTCTACTTTTGCATAAATGATCTACCTAAGGTCTTTTTACTTTTACATAAATGATCTACCTAAGAGTCTTTCACTTTTTGCATAAATGATTTTCAGAGTCTTTTTACTTTACATAAATGATCTAGAGTCTTTCTACTTACCTAAGAGTCTTTTTACTTTACATAAATGATCTACCTAAGAGTCTTTTTAATTTACATAAATGATCTACCTAAGAGTCTTTCTACTTTGCATGAATGAACTACCTAAGAGTCTTTTTACTTTACATAAATGATCTACCTAAGAGTCTTTTTACTTTACATAAATGATCTACCTAAGAGTCTTTTTACTTTACATAAATGATCTACCTAAGAGTCTTTCTACTTTGCATAAATGATTTACCTCAGAGTCTTTTTACTTTACATAAATGATCTACCTAAGAGTCTTTACATACTTAAGAGTCTTTTTTATTTTACATAAATGACTTATATAAATGATCTAAGAGTCTTTCTACCTAAGAGTCTTTTTACTTTTAAATTAGTCTTTTACATAAATGATCTACCTAAGAGTCTTTTTACTTTACATAAATGATCTACCTAAGAGTCTTTTAATTTACATAAATGATTGTCTTTCACTTTGCATGAATGAACTACCTAAGAGTCTTTTTACTTTACATAAATAAATAAGAGTTTTTTACTTTACATAAAGGATCTACCTAAGAGTCTTTTTACTTTACATAAATGATCTACCTAAGAGTCGTTACATAAAGGATCTACCTAAGAGTCTTTTTCTACTTTGCATAAATGATTTACCTCAGAGTCATAAATTCTACTTTTTGATCATAAATAAATGATCTACCTAAGAGTCTTTTACTTTGCATAAACTTTACCTAAGAGTTTTCATAAATGATCTACCTAAGAGGTTTTTTACATAAATTTACATAAATGATCTACCTAAGAGTCTTTTTACTTTATAAATGATTTACCTAAAGTTTTTTTTACTTTACATAAATGATCTACCTAAGAGTCTTTTTTACTTTTACATAAATGATCTACCTAAGAGTCTTTTTACGTTAAATGATCTACCTAAAACTTTACATAAATGATCTACCTAAGAGTCTTTTTTTTACATAAAAGGATCTTTTGCATAAATGACCGACAAAAAGAGTCTTTTTTACTTTACATAAATGATCTACCTAAGCTTTTAAATGATTGACCAAAGAGTCTTTTTACTTTTTACATAAAGATCTTTTTTTTACTTTGCATAAATGATTTACCTAAGAGTCTTTTTTACTTTACATAAATGATCTACCTAAGAGTCTTTTTTTGCTTGGAACATCTACTTTGCTTTTTTTACTTTACATAAATGATCTACCTAAGAGTCTTTTTACTTTGCATGAATGATCTACCTAAGAGTTTTTTACTTTTTTTTTACAAAGAGTCTTTTACTTTAAATGATCTACCTAAGAGTCTTTTTACTTTACATAAATGATCTACCTATATAAAGAGTCTTTTTTTTACTTTTTTTTACATAAAATGACCTAAGACCTAAGATCTACCTAAGAGTCTTTTTTTTTACATAAATGATTACCTAGTCTTTTTACATAAAATGATCTAAGAGTCCCATAAAGATCTACCTTTCTTTTTACTTTGCATAAATGATCATAAATGAACTAAAGAGTCTTTTACTTTCTATAAATGAGTCTTTTCTACTTTATATAAATGATTTACAGAGTCTTTTACTTACATAAATGATCTAACTAAGAGTCTTTCTACTTTGCATAAATGATTTACCTAAGAGTCTTTTTTACTTTACATAAATGATCTACCTAAGAGTCTTTCTACTTTGCATAAATGACCTAAGAGTCTTTTTAAAACGTATATGGATTAAATGATCTACCAAGTCTAGCATAAATGACAAACCTAAGAGTCTTTTTGCATAAAGCTAAGAGTCTTTTACAAATGATCTACCTCCGATCTGCAGTGAACATCTAACAGCTCAGTGGACTAAAATCTGGCTGGTCGCATTCAATATCTAGAAAACCAAACTAGTTCCATTCGCCGATAGGGCCCTGAACCATCATCAATCGAGATGAATGTATGTTCCCCCAGGGCGACCCCTCAACTCGGACCTCAAATGAAACTCGCACATATGATCGATCGCTAAAGATTCTGGGAAAACGGTCAGGTCTCTGTACCGCTCTAGTAAGTACCTGACTCCTCGTGCCATCCTCTACCTTTGTAAGAGGCTGATCATGCCCCAAATGGAGTCCTTCTGCCGTATTTGAGTAAGGGCTGTCCAAATCCTCACTTTTTCTGTCTCGATAGAATCCGAAAGAGTCTCCGCGTCCTTGTGGGTGACAAATTATTTTCAACCCTACAACCTCTTTCCTCACAGACGAAATGTCGCAAGCCCTCACTGCTCAGACGAACTATATTTCTTAGTTACACCAGTTGTAACTTTTACGGCTCGGACCCACCATGCTACGCACATCGTAGCAAACCACCCATATTACCTTCGTATTCGGCTACTCTCTGGAACCGACTCCCAAGAGGATGCTTCCCCGATCACTAGAATCATAGCCTGTTCAAGTCAAGGGTTAACCGTTATCTTCTCCACATATCAGCATAAAATGTGACTCTTACTCAATAACTCTCTACCTCGAGTGGCACGCAGGCCTTGTGCAGAATGAACTTCCCTGTACAAAAGGAAATATATTAGACGGAGATGTATGCAGTGTCTTGTACGAAATTTAAATTAAAAAAAAATAGTTTTCCTGAAAGAATAATTATTTGTCGAGAGGGGCGTGTAGATACCCCGCAAATGAACGAAGTTAGCACCATGGGTATCGCACTTTGAAGAATGAATCCGAATTGCGAAACAACACACCCGCACTGTTAGATCAGTTGGCAGTGCTCTAGCACGTAAAACTTTCTGTATGCAAGCCTGTACGAAATTTCAATGTTCGTGTGTATGAGCTTTGGTGGTGAAAAGCAGTAGTAACATCTTTCTTTCACTACAATCAATAATCGACTGACTGTTGTCGGTGCATGCTCCCTCTATCTATCTATCTATCTATCTATCTATCTATGTTCTCCCCCCCCACTGTGCATCACCAATAGGAGCCGACTGATTCAGCTACTGTAATCATTTAGAAACTGCTAACGCTACGGGCGGTAAGAAGGTTGGGGTGGGAGGTGCCAGAAATAAAATTCTTGGAAGGGAAGTAGGGGAGAAAAAAACGACGAGGGAGTGGTGGGAGGAGAGCGGGCGTGGGCAGGAATGTCGTCACTTCACTCGTGGGATTGGGTGCTGAGAAATATCGTCTCAGAATCAATTATTTATCCAGGTTTTTTCCCCGTTATCCGAAAACACCGCGTTCTCATTGGCATAAAGCGAAGAAATAATCAACACTGATTTATATAGAAAACATTTCTGAGCGTTCCCAAAACATAAGCTTCGCTACCGCTGACTTTTTTAATTTCGAACCCAGCTAGGTATTGTGCCACTTGCTCCTGTCTTAGTCGTAAGTTAAACCGACAACTGCTCTCAAAAAAAAAAAAGGTAATTCAATCCGTGGTTAGCTGGGGCAAGAAAAGGCTTGGAAATTTTAACACCTCCAAAATAAAGACTATTTTTTTAATCACCTCACAAACTTTTTTGTCTGCCATCATCATGGCAGATGTTAGACTCCAGGATCTCAACACTCAACGGATCCTTGGGTTCATGTTTTCGACTGGCATGAATTGAAGCGCTATATCCAATCAATTGCTGTCTCTACTTCTGCGAAAGTTGGTCCACTGTGTCGTGCGTGAATGTTTTTCTCGTCTGAATCCATCTTACACGTTTACAAATCTTTCATTCGTCCGTGCATGGAATACTGCAGCCATATCTGGTCGGTTGCTCCTGCTATTCATCTCTAGATTCGTGACAAAATCCAAAAAAGGGTCCGTCATATAATCGATCCTGACCTGGCATCTCGATTTCAGTCACTTTCTCACCGATGTGACGTATTTTCCCTCTGTTTTTTTTTTTTTTTTTTTTCTACAAATATTTTCATGGTAACTGCTCTGATGGGATATTCTTTCCCTGGTGCTACAACTAAAAAAAAACAACCAAAAAAAAAAAACAGAAATGATTTACGACTCAACCTTTAAAAAAAAAACAAAAAAAAAAAAAACTACGAAAACAATTGAGTTTCTTTTCCCCATATTTTCAGATAAGACGTTTAGCCATCTTGACACCATTTTTCGTAAGAATCACTGATAAACCCTTCATTTTTTTAAAATCCTTTCAGACACGTAATTTTGATTTTATTTTTCGTTTTTCATTTTTACTGCCATATTTGGAATCGCGCATTCATTTTAAACTTCGCGCATTGCGCAGTAATCAAGACGTGTGAAGCACCCGCGCCGGATGACGACTCGAGGCAAACATAGTTAAACAAAGCCCGTAATGACAGCCGTTATGTCGACGCGACGCGAAACAAGTCGAACTTACATCATCCATAACTTCTAAACGGCATTAGAACGCAAACTTTTAATGTCATTTTCGAAATAATCAGGCAATTTCACGCCATAATGAAACATCTTAATTACTGTGGGCTTTTTATATTGCAAATTAAACAGCTCTGTTTCCATTAGAGATATTTATTCCTCTACAAAGCAGTTTGTATTAACTATAAACATAATAATAGGAGGTTTGTCCTTAACTACCATTCGTATGATTCGTCATTATATTTCCCCAAAAGCCGAAAAGATTTACGACTCAACCTACTATATATCGGGTGTAACAGAAAAATTGTCCAGGTCGAGTAACGCCATAACTGTCTATAATAAAAAATGTTTAATATCAAAAATACTTTGGAAGTATAAAATGATACACAAAATATCTGTTGTTTGAAAGCATAAAATTGCGTTCAAAATATAGGGCTCATCTTTATCTTCACGATGAACCCTTGTTATGATGTTGATTTGGGGTTAGTAGAGACAAACGCCAAATAACACGTAACAATAAAAAGGGTTTTAATAGGTTGGTAAAAATACAGAAATCACCTGAGTAGTCAATAACTAGCTCAGCTAAGAACCTCTGTCTATCTATCTTCCCCATGTCAACTGACATGCTACTATTTAAAGTCTTTGTTCACAGACGCAGACAAGTTCATCTTCAAGAGGGGTGGTAGGTTTCCGACACAACAACCCTAAAGAAAAAATCATCTCCCCCACTTTCAAAAAAAAAAAATTCTGCGACATATAGCGAGCTCCCACAAAGAGGAGAAACATGGTCTTAACTGAAAAATCATTTTGATACAGGTATTAACCCAGAGATGATACCTTTCCAGTGATATCGTAAATGTATAACGATCCCTTTAGAATTCGGATCTCCGATTAACAATTTCGAACCATTATTCATTACACCAACCGGCTTACAGCGCCTTGTATTCCCAACGATCTTATAAACCCTAATGTCTCAGTAAATATTTTTTGCCAGAGCTCATATTACAAATGGCAATAAAGAAACATGGATATTTAATCATATCAAAATGGTTGTTTTTCATGCTGAAATCTAAATATTTTGAACGCTATTTTATGGGTTTCAACTAAATATATTTTTTGAAAAATTGTATGCCTTCACTTACAGATAAAATGTAATGTTGGTCATTTTGATATCGGCATTAAATAACCCCTAGAGTTGTTGATATGCCACCGAATAAAATCAACCAATCATCGCTATGTCATGTCAGGAAATTTCTTTGCATCAGAATCTTTCTTGCACATTTACAAATCTACCATTCGTTCGTGTATTGAATACTGCTGACATATCTGGTTTGGTGTTCCTGCTGTATATATCGGGATTCTTGACAAAATCCGAAGAAAGGTCTGTAATATAATGATCCAGACCTGGACGACCTCAGTTAATTTCTCAGCCGAGACGTGGTTTTTTTCTACAAATATTTTCATTATTTACATTATTCAGATTGTCCTCATCTCTGTCGCCCTATTTATTACAACGATTCGGCCGTTTACGCTCCGGCCTTTCTTCAGGTGGTTGGAATGTCAAACTGAACCCTTTATTTCAACTGGGGTAGCTAGTTCCATCTAATGGATGTCAGTTATCAGTTATCTCTATCTCCAAGTTCTCCACCGCCTTAACCAGGTATTGAACTCACACTCTTTGGGTCCTGTCACTTTAACCAACGCCTTTATCCACTGTGCCATGTGAGCGAAATAAAGGGTTCAGTTCGACATTCAACCACCTGAAGAAGTAGGAGGTACAACGGCTGAAACCGTTGTATTAAATATGGCGACAAAGATGAAAAAATTACATAATACCTCATATAAGAAATATAGACAGATACTTAAGGGCCGAAACGTTGTAATAAATATGGCGACAAAGATGAGGACAATAGTCCGAATAATGTAAATAGTGTACATAATACCTCATCTCAGAAATATAGACAGATATGAAGGCCGAAACGTTGTAATAAATATGGCGACAAAGAAACAATAGTCCGAATAATGTAAATATAGTGTACATAATACCTCATCTCAGAAATATGGACAGATACTGAAGGTCCGAAACATTGTAATAAATATGGCGACAAAGATGAGGACAATAGTCCGAAATGTAAATATTGTACATAATACCTCATCTCAGAAATATAGACAGATACTGAAGGGCCGAAACGTTGTAATAAATTGGCGACAAAGATGAGGACAATAGTCCGAATAATGTAAATAAACATAATATCATCTCAGAAATATAGAAGATAAGAAACATTGTAACAAATATGGCGACAAAGATGAGGACAATAGTCTGAATAATGTAAATAATGTACATAATACTTCATCTCAGAAATATAGACAGATACTGAAGGGCCGAATTATTGTAATAAATAGAGACAAAGATGAGGACCCGAATAATGTAAATAATGTACATAATACTTCATCTCAGAAATATAGACACATACTAAAGGGCCGAAACGTTGTAATAAATATATATGAGGACAATAGTCCGAATAATGTAAATAATGTACATAATACTTCATCTCAGAAATATAGACACATACGAAAGGGCTGAAACGGTAATAAATATGGCAACAAAGATGAAGACAATAGTCCGAATAATATAAATAGTGTACATAATACCTCATCTCAGAAATATAGACAGATACTGAAGGGCCGAAACATTGTAATAAATATGGCGACAAAGATGAGGACAATAGTCCGAATAATGTAAATAGTGTACATAATTCCTCATCTCAGAAATATAGACAGAAATCAAACTATATCCCAAAATATAACTTCAACAAAAAACACTTCATCTAGTAATAATGTTCACACAAACATATATATGCACAAAAAGCTGTGTATCACCTACAATGTATTCAACTCTGAAAGCAGAATAATAAACATCATAGATTTTTTGAAGTGCTATCTGATGATCCGGCATCCTTTAAAAAGGACTCTGGTGAAATAAATTATTATAATGGTACCTTAAAAGTGTCTGTTTTTCTTTTAAATATTAGCTCTGGATTTAAATTGAGCTCTCAGGTTTCATCCTCCTTGGGATTACCCATATATATATAAGTTCTTATATATATATATATATATATATATATATATATATATATATATATATAAACAAAGAACAATAAGATATATAATCCAGTGTTCTTATTGATATTTTTTTTATTTTTACAAAACAGTGCTCAATGTAAATTTACAGAGCGTAAATATTATAAATTAACTGATTTAAAATATGGTTTCTTCGCTACACAGTAATAACCATGTTTCAAAAACTGAAGCTAAAATCTTCAAATTTAATTATATAATTAAACTAAAAGCATTAGTTCCATTTCATCTTCAAGTGAATATTGGAATAACTTATTTTAAAATTTACTGAGTTTTAAACGCAGATATAAATTCATCATTTCCTGTTTCCAAGGATACAGAGAAATCCAATCATTCAAACAAGGGCGGTAGCGTGCTCATTTTTAATAACTACTAGCAGTAGAGCCCGGCGTTGCCCGGGGATGCAACAGTAAGAGATAGATCAAGTATCGACCATCATAAAGACTGAAAAATAAAATTGACAAAGATTATTGTTTAAGGTTGACGGACACGCATGTCTTAATTAGTTTTTGTTTTTTTTACGAATTGGTCAAACCCAAACTCAAAAAAAACATTGTTTTCAATCGTTATGAGTCTACCGATTGAATAGAATTTTATTATAAACAATTGTCTTGTAAATGGAATTTTAAAAGCATTCTGAATGTAAAAAAATAAAGAAAAAAGTGTGCAAGACAATAAGAAACACTACCTCCAAAAAAAAAAAGTGAAGTTTTGTTGAAATTGGTTGAAAAATGTAGGAAATCCGATCCCGTATATAAACGAAGACACACAAAACAACCTAACTCGATATGAGTTGTCCCCCTTTCATTCTCGTGATGCTTGTTAATCGTGTTTTCAAATTAATTTTGTGCAAAAACAATTATGTTTTTCCAGTTTTTGGCGCTGTCAGAACCACCGCAAGGTAATTTTAGGTAGTCCTGTGAAGTTTTGTTGAAATCGGTTGAAAAATGTAGGAAATCCGATCCAATATATAAACGAACAGACAGACACACACACACGCACACACGCACACACAACCTGGGTGTTATAATAAGTATGATGAAGACAAAAGTCTGAACAATGTTAATAAGGTAAATAATTACGATATATGATCATTGAATTATAGACAGATCCTGAGGAAGGCCGAGGCGTATAACGGCTGAAACGTCGTTAAAAAGAAAAAAAAAATAGGATTAATAAAATAAAGAAAGATATACAGAAACAAACTAAATTCAAAGGGCCATCTTAATCTTTAAAATGAGCCAGAAACAAAACAAGACAAAAAAAATAGAGAAAAAAAAGGTACCCCACTCCCCGATTTTCCAAAAAATCCTGCGATATATATAGAGAGCCCGCAAAAGTGGAGGAAACATGGTCTGATGATTGCTTAAATGATTGATTGATTAGTTTTTACGGCTTGTCAATCCTTTGCAGGTTATTTAAAGCCAGAAAATATTTTTAAATTATAAGATTTTTTTTTTTAGAGATAATAATCATTTATTTCTACAAGTCTTACTACTTAAACCGTAGCTCGGGTAGAAGATGTGAATACATATCTTTCCCAGAGAGATTTGTGCGTAATTGAATATAACGAACATAACTGGAATTGGAACTTGGATATCCGATTTACAACCATTATCTATGACACCACCCGCACATCCGAGCTTACCGCACTTGGTCTTCCCAAGCGGTTACCTATCTAGGTACTGGCCAGGCTTGATGATTGCTTAAGGCATGAAATTTCAAGCAATTATGCAATGTCGATTTCAAAGCCCATCATCTATCTATCTATCTATCTATCTATCTATCTATCTATCTTCATTATTTATCTATCCATCGATCTATTTGATCTATCTATCTATCTATCTATCATCTATCTATCTATCTATCTCAGTCTTTTCATCTATCTATTCATCTATCTATCTATCTATCTATCTATCTATCTATCTCAGTCTCTTTATCTATCTATCTATCTATCTATCTATCTATCTATCTATCTATCTATCTTTTCATTATCATCTATCTATCTATCTATCTATCTATCTATCTATCTATCTAAGTCTTTCATATATCTATATTCATCTATCTCCACTTTTCATATCTATCTATCTATCTATCTATATTTATCTCAGTGTCATCATTATTATCTATCTATCTATCTATCTATCTATCTATCTATCTATCTATCTCATCTTCATATCTATCTATCTATCTATCTATCTATCTATCTATCTATCTAAGTCTCTTCTATATCTATATATTCATATCTATCTCACTCTTTTTCATATCATATCTATCTATCTATCTATCTAGTCTCTTTTTATTTTCTATCTATCTATCTATCTATCTATCTATCTATCTTCATATCTATCTATCTATCTATCTCAGTCTCTTCATTTTCTATCATATCTATCTCATCTATCTATCTATCTATTCATCATTATATATATCTATCCATCATTATCTATCTATCTATCTATCATTATATCTTCATTATTTATCTATCCATCGTTTGATCTATCTCATGTCATCATTATATATATTCATCTATATATCATCATATCTATCTATCTATGTTTGTTTATAATATATATTCATCTATCTATCTATATCTATATCTATCTATCTATCAGTCTTTTTATATCTATCTATCATCTATCTATCTATCCATCTATCATCTATATCTTTTATCTATTCATCTATCTATTCATCTATCTAAGTCCCTTCATATCTATCTATATCTTCATATCTATATATCATCATATCTATCATCCACTCTTTTCATTCATCTATCTATCATTCATTCATATCTATTCATTCATTCATCTATCTATCATTCATCTATATCTATATCTATATCATCTATCTCAGTCTCTTTCTACATTCATTTCATCATTATTTCTATCTATCTATCATCTATTATCTCATTCATCTATCATCATTATCATCTATTCATATCATCCATCCTCAGTCATCTATCATTTCCATCCATCTATCTATCCATCATCATCTCATTCATCCATATCTATCTATCTATCCATCCATCCATCCATCTCAGTCCCTTCATATATATTCAGTATCTTCACATCTATCTATCTATTCTATCTATCATCCATCATCCATCTATCCATCCATCCATCCATTCATCTCAGTCTCTTCATCCATCCATCATCTATCCATCTATCTATCTATATCTATCTCAGTCTCATTCATACATCCATCCATCTATATATTCATATCTATCAGCATCTATATCTATCTTTTCTATATCTATCTATTCATATCTATATATTCATATCTATCTTTTCATATTCTATCTATCTATTATCTATCTATCTCATTCATCTCTATCTATCTCAGTCTCTTCATTTTCATCATTATCTATCTATCTATCTATTCATATTCATCTATCTATCTCATCATTTTCAGTCTATTCAGTATCTATCTCAGTATTCAGTATTTCTATGTTTGTCTGTATGCGTGCATCTGGGAACAGGATAAAATTTTATATCCTAAGCGGTTTACCTGAAACGGATTTATATTTTCGATGTACGCCGTATATTAGATAGATCTAAATCGGCAATTCTGACCTTTCCTTCACGTCTCTCTTCCCCTCTCTCTCTTATATATATATATATATATATATATATATATATATATGTGTGTGTGTGTGTGTGTGTGTGTGTGTGTGTGTGTATTGATGCAATAGGAAGAACAGTCAGATCAATCCAAAGTTCTTTAGTATTTATGCTTTTTATTAAAAAAAAAAGTGCTCGATACCTTCCATATATGGTTTTCCTCTATGGTCACGTGGTCTACTTAATTCTATAATGGGATCACCTGTAGGAAGCGACACTTTATTCCTATATAACACAATGGCTGGATGCAACCGTAGTTTCTATGGTGACAGTTTCTTTTCTCGCACTTCTCACCTGTGGGAATCTCTTCCAGTGTCTAGAGTTCCCAGCCAACGTTGGTCGTTAAAAATTTGAATTCAATGTCAATCGTTATCCACTGCCTTCTTGGTTCTCCGTTCTTTTATTGTCCTCGCTAATTTATGTTAATTTTGTAACGGAAGAAATATAGTAAAATCCCTAATATCCGGAATCCGACATATCCGGAGTGCCTCGTGACCGGAATCCCTCATATGCGGAGACCCTCGTGTCCGGAATCCCTCATATCGCGAGAGCCTCGTGTGCAGAATCCCTTATATCCGGAGTGCCTCGTGTCCGGAATCCCTCATATCCGGAGTGCTTATTGTCCGGAATCCCTCATATCGGGAGAGCCTCGTGTCCAGAATCCCTCATATCCGGAGTGCCTCGTGACCGGAATCCCTCATATCCGGAGTGCCTCGTGCCCGGAATCCCTCATATCCGGAGCCTTAGTCCGGCCATATCCGAGTGTCCGTCCGAATCCCTCATATCCCGAGTGCCTCGTGCCCGGAATCCCGCATATACGGACATGATCTTGATGTGTATATTTGAATTATTTGGGTGATATGTAACAGATTTTAAATTTCTGTTCTTCCAGGAAATTTACTTTGGATAATTGCTGATGATTATCCTACTGGCTTTTATTGGCGCCAAAGTCGGTGGGAATAAAAAGGAAAAGAACAATTTCGGAGAGGGGAAATTTTAAACAGACTAGACGCTGGTGAAAGTTCATTGTAACTAATGGCTCGAACAGCCATCCGTATAGTGAACTAGTATAGAGAAATAATGCAGTGAATAAAGTAGAGAATAGCGGTAGGTATAGTAATATAAGATAGAGTAGAAATGGAGATCCGAATAGTAACAGAGGATAGATCAGAAATAGAGATCGGAATAATATTAGAGGATAGACTAGAAATAGCGATCCGAATAAGCAATAGAAGATAGACTAGAAATAGCGATCCGAATAGCAATAGAGGATAGACTAGAAATAGTGATCCGAATAGCAATAGAGGATAGACTAGAAATAGTGATCCGAATAGCAATAGAGGATAGACTAGAAATAGCGATCCGAATAGCAATAGAGGATAGACTAGAAATCGCGATCCGAATAGCAACAGAGGATAGACTAGAAATAGCGATCCGAAGAGCAATAGAGGATAGACTAGAAATAGCGATCCGAATAGCAATAGAGGATAGACTAGAAATAGTAATCCGAATAGCAATAGAGGATAGACTAGAAATAGTGATCCGAATAGCAATAGAGGATAGACTAGAAATAGTGATCCGAATAGCAATAGAGGATAGACTAGAAATAGTGATCCGAATAGCAATAGAGGATAGACTAGAAATAGTGATCCGAATAGCAATAGAGGATAGACTAGGAATACTGATCCGAATAGCAATAGAGGATAGACTAGAAATACTGATCCGAATAGCAATAGAGGATAGACTAGAAATAGTAATCCGAATAGCAATAGAGGATAGACTAGAAATAGTGATCCGAATAGCAATAGATGATAGACTAGAAATAGCGATCCGAATAGCAATAGAAGATAGACTAGAAATAGCGATCCGAATAGCAATAGAGGATAGACTAGAAATCGCGATACGAATAGCAATAGAGGATAGATAGGAAATAGCGATCCGAATAGCAATAGAGGATAGACTAGAAATAGTAATCCGAATAGCAATAGAGGATAGACTAGAAATAGTGATCCGAATAGCAATAGAAGATAGACTAGAAATAGCGATCCGAATAGCAATAGAGGATAGACTAGAAATAGCGATCCGAATAGCAATAGAGGATAGACTAGAAATAGTGATCCGAATAGCAATAGAGGATAGACTAGAAATAGTGATCCGTATAGCAATAGAGGATAGACTAGAAATAGCGATCCGAATAGCTATAGAGGATAGACTAGAAATCGCGATCCGAATAGCAATAGAGGATAGACTAGAAATAGCGATACGAAGAGCAATAGAGGATAGACTAGAAATAGCGATCCGAATAGCAATAGAGGATAGACTAGAAATAGTAATCCGAATAGCAATAGAGGATAGACTAGAAATAGTGATCCGAATAGCAATAGAGGATAGACTAGAAATAGCGATCCGAATAGCAATAGAGGATAGACTAGAAATAGTAATCCGAATAGCAATAGAGGATAGACTAGAAATAGTGATCCGAATAGCAATAGAGGATAGACTAGAAATAGCGAGCCGAATAGCAATAGAAGATAGACTAGAAATAGCGATCCGAATAGCAATAGAGGATAGACTAGAAATAGCGATACGAATAGCAATAGAGGATAGATAGGAAATCGCGATCCGAATAGCAAATAGGATAGATAGAGGAAATAGTGATCCGAATAGCAATAGAGGATAGAGTAGAAATAGTGATCCGAATAGCAATAGAAGATAGACTAGAAATACCGATCCGAATAGCAATAGAGGATAGACTAGAAATCGCGATCCGAATAGCAATAGAGGATAGACTAGAAATAACGATCTGAATAGAAATAGAGGATAGACTAGAAATAGTGATCCGAATAGCAATAGAGGATAGACTAGAAATAGTAATCCGTATAGCAATAGAGGATAGACTAGAAATAGCGATCCGAATAGCAATAGAGGATAGACTAGAAATAGTGATCCGAATAGCAATAGAGGATAGACTAGAAATAGCGATCCGAATAGCAATAGAAGATAGACTAGAAATAGTGATCCGAATAGCAATAGAGGATAGACTAGAAATAGTGATCCGAATAGCAATAGAGGATAGACTAGAAATAGTGATCAGAATAGCAATAGAGGATAGACTAGAAATAGTGATCCGAATAGCAATAGAGGATAGACTAGAAATAGTGATCCGAATAGCAATAGAGGATAGACTAGAAATAGCGATCCGAATAGCAATAGAGGATAGACTAGAAATAGTGATCCGAATAGCAATAGAGGATAGACTAGAAATAGTGATCCGAATAGCAATAGAGGATAGACTAGAAATAGTGATCCGAATAGCAATAGAGGATAGACTAGAAATAGTGATCCGAATAGCAATAGAGGATAGACTAGAAATAGTAATCCGAATAGCAATAGAGGATAGACTAGAAATAGTGATCCGAATAGCAATAGAGGATAGACTAGAAATAGTGATCCGAATAGCAATAGAGGATAGACTAGAAATAGCGATCCGAATAGCAATAGAGGATAGACTAGAAATAGTGATCCGAATAGCAATAGAGGATAGACTAGAAATAGCGATCCGAAGAGCAATAGAGGATAGACTAGAAATAGTGATCCGAATAGCAATAGAGGATAGACTAGAAATAGTAATCCGTATAGCAATAGAGGATAGACTAGAAATAGCGATCCGAATAGCAATAGAGGATAGACTAGAAATCGCGATCCGAATAGCAATAGAGGATAGACTAGAAATAGCGATCCGAATAGCAATAGAGGATAGACTAGAAATAGTGATCCGAATAGCAATAGAGGATAGACTAGAAATAGTAATCCGAATAGCAATAGAGGATAGACTAGAAATAGTGATCCGAATAGCAATAGAGGATAGACTAGAAATAGCGATCCGAATAGCAATAGAGGATAGACTAGAAATAGTAATCCGAATAGCAATAGAGGATAGACTAAAAAATAGTGATCCGAATAGCAATAGAGGATAGACTAGAAATAGCGATCCGAATAGCAATAGAGGATAGACTAGAAATAGCGATCCGAATAGCAATAGAGGATAGACTAGAAATAGTGATCCGAATAGCAATAGAGGATAGACTAGAAATAGCGATCCGAATAGCAATAGAAGATAGACTAGAAATAGTGATCCGAATAGCAATAGAGGATAGACTAGAAATAGTAATCCGAATAGCAATAGAGGATAGACTAGAAATAGTGATCCGAATAGCAATAGAGGATAGACTAGAAATAGTGATCCGAATAGCAATAGAGGATAGACTAGAAATAGTGATCCGAATAGCAATAGAGGATAGACTAGAAATAGTGATCCGAATAGCAATAGAGGATAGACTAGAAATAGTGATCCGAATAGCAATAGAGGATAGACTAGAAATAGTGATCCGAATAGCAATAGAGGATAGACTAGAAATAGTGATCCGAATAGCAATAGAGGATAGACTAGAAATAGTGATCCGAATAGCAATAGAGGATAGACTAGAAATAGTGATCCGAATAGCAATAGAGGATAGACTAGAAATAGTGATCCGAATAGCAATAGAGGATAGACTAGAAATAGTGATCCGAATAGCAATAGAAGATAGACTAGAAATAGTGATCCGAATAGCAATAGAGGATAGACTAGAAATAGTGATCCGAATAGCAATAGAGGATAGACTAGAAATAGTGATCCGAATAGCAATAGAGGATAGACTAGAAATAGTGATCCGAATAGCAATAGAGGATAGACTAGAAATAGTAATCCGAATAGCAATAGAGGATAGACTAGAAATAGCGATGCGAATAGCAATAGAGGATAGACTAGAAATAGTGATCCGAATAGCAATAGAGGATAGACTAGAAATAGCGATCCGAATAGCAATAGAGGATAGACTAGAAATAGCGATCCGAATAGCAATAGAGGATAGACTAGAAATAGCGATCCGAATAGCAATAGAGGATAGACTAGAAATAGTGATCCGAATAGCAATAGAGGATAGACTAGAAATACTAATCCGAATAGCAATAGAGGATAGACTAGAAATAGTGATCCGAATAGCAATAGAGGATAGACTAGAAATAGTGATCCGAATAGCAATAGAGGATAGACTAGAAATAGCGATCCGAATAGCAACAGAGGATAGTCTAGAAATAGTGATCCGTATAGCAATAGAGGATAGACTAGAAATAGCGATCCGAATAGCAATAGAGGATAGACTAGAAATAGTGATCCGAATAGCAATAGAGGATAGACTAGAAATAGTGATCAGAATAGCAATAGAGGATAGACTAGAAATAGTGATCCGAATAGCAATAGAGGATAGACTAGAAATAGTGATCCGAATAGCAATAGAGGATAGACTAGAAATAGCGATACGAATAGCAATAGATAATAGACTAGAAATAGCGATCCGAATAGCAATAGAAGATAGACTACAAATAGTGATCCGAATAGCAATAGAGGATAGACTAGAAATAGTGATCCGAATAGCAATAGAGGATAGACTAGAAATAGTGATCCGAATAGCAATAGAGGATAGACTAGAAATAGTGATCCGAACAGCAATAGAGGATAGACTAGAAATAGTGATCCGAATAGCAATAGAGGATAGACTAGAAATAGCGATCCTAATAGCAATAGAGGATAGACTAGAAATAGCGATCCGAATAGCAGTAGAGGATAGACTAGAAATAGCGATCCGAATAGCAATAGAAGATAGACTAGAAATAGTGATCCGAATAGCAATAGAGGATAGACTAGAAATAGTGATCCGAATAGCAATAGAGGATAGACTAGAAATAGCGATCCGAATAGCAATAGAGGATAGTCTAGAAATAGTGATCCGAATAGCAATAGAGGATAGACTAGAAATAGCGATCTTTTAGATGTCACGCGACTTCCTACGTATGCGTTTTCTCTACGGTCACGTGGTCTACTTAATTAAAAAATGGGATCGCCTGTGTTTGCCCAGTGGCGATCTATGTTCAACCACAAGTGTCGGCAGCGATAGTTTTTTTCCTCCATAACACTCCGAGTGGGCAAGTCTATTTCGTAAACAACTTGGTCTTATAAATCGAACAAGCCTCACTTTAAGAACTTAATGTCCGGTCTGACATTTTCGGTCAGTGGCCCGCGGGTCCTACATCAGTTTTGCTTAAATGGTCATTTCGACCGCCCTGAAATCTCCAAATCGATAATCGATCACCTTTCGTTGCTTGTCGAGTTTCACATGGTCATTTCTTTTTTTTATCCCGATCGACAACTCCTGTCGGGGGTTAGAATCCTTCTTTAGGCTCACGTGGTTCCCAGCCTAGAATAAACAGATCGAGAGAAAGTCTCGACTCCCTTTGCTGTCTTCACTGGTTAGTTGCCTCACTGTAACAAGATGAAAGATTCCTTGACTTCAAGGATCCCTTAATTACGAGGGTAAGGCAAAAGTTATCGGAACTTTCGCCATAATATATTTTTCGGTTTGTCACACTGCCTTCTGCGCTTGCGTGCTTAGAGCTGGTGCTATTGGCGTCACGTGGTCGAGGTTTGAGCTTGAACGTCAGTTTTCTTTCGCCATCGCAGATGAAGAAGACAATTCAGACAAAAAAATCTAGTTCTACATGAGAATCCTAATAACATAATAATATAGACATAATCATATAACATAACATAATATATATGACATACAGCGTAACCCGGATATAAGAGACCCGGATATAAGAGAAACCCGAATATAAGAGAGATTTTCTCTGGTCCCAAATTAGAGCCTGTGTTAATGTATATAAAATAGACCAAACCCGGATATAAGAGAAACCCGGATATAAGAGAGATTTTCTCTGGTCCCAAATTAGAGCCTGTGTTAATGTATATAAAATAGACCAAACCCGGATATAAGAGACTTCTTCTACGGTCCCGACAACTATCTTATATCCGGGTTACACTGTATATATATATATATATATATATATATATATATATATATATATATGTGAAAAGTGTATATAAATGTAAATAAATATATATATGTATAATCATTTATATCTTATATGCGCGGTACTTATTAGAAAGCGCTCAATATCAGAGATAGAGCTAACATATTTGGTTGGATAGATGTGAGTTTGTGACCCTGGGTTTCACGCTTTAGCGATCATCAGAACCCTGACGATCGCTAAAGCGTGAAACCCAGGGTCACAAACTCACATCTATCCAACCAAATAATATATATATATATATATATATATATATATATATATATATATATATATATATATATATAAAGGGTGTTCCAATAAATTGGACAGATTTTAAATGTGAATTAAGTTTAAGTGTCTAATGATTTTTTTTTTCAGATTTAACAACTTAAGTCTTTGGCAATTTCAACTATGGAAAGATTAACAATCAAACAATGTGTTAAAGTTATCAAAGCCTATTACGAAAGTGGACGTTCAAACAGAATTTGAATGAGAAGTTCCCAGGTCGCCTTATCTCTCGAAACAGAGAAGTCAATTGGCCACCATGATTGTGTGACAATGCCTTTAGATTTCTTCCTTTGGGGTCATCTCAAAAGTAAGGTCTATGCCAACAAGCCAACAACAATTCAAAAGCTGAAGGATGAGATAATAAGGCATATTGGTGAGATCGAGGAGCAACTATGCAGAGACGTCATCAAAAATGTTGACCATCGAGTTGAAGGTGTGCCGCCGAAGCCTTGGTGGAAAATTTGGGCGGTATTATTTTTGCACACACAATTGCCATGACTTAAATAACATGATCCAATAGAGAAATAAATAAAATTTCACCAATAACATTGATTTATTTACTGCTGACTTTGATCCGTCTTAATCACACACACACACACACACACACACACACACACACACATATATATATATATATATAAATCCGTGGATATGTAATCCAAGTGAATCCTAATAATATAAAATATTAAAACTAGTCTGTCTGTGGATGACAATATATATATATATATATAATTATTTTTTATAAAAAAAATTATAACATAAGTATGTTATAAAATCACTACAAAAAATAATATATATATATATATATATACAGGAGAATGTGGCCAAAAATCCAGACACCTCTATTCGTCATCGTGCACAGGAATTGAACCTCTACACAAGAACGTTACATCGCTTCCAATTGCACTCACGGCTGGTCGATTATGTTGGCTAAAATATCGCAAGGTGCGCGAAGCGAAATACATTTCAGTTTGAACGTCCATTTTCGTAATAGGCTTCGATAATTTTAACACGTTGTTTGATTGTTAATCTTTCCATGGTTGAAATTACCAAAGACTTTGAAAGAAAAAGATTTAAAAAGATCATTAGACGCTTAAACTTAATTCAAATTTAAAATCAGTGGAAATTATTTGAACACCATTTACAAACGGATTTCTTACAAAGAACACATATTCTATTCATACGAACCTATCCTAAAAAAATTTATCGGCATCAAATAGAAGTGTTTTGGTATTGACAAGCATCTGATGATTTTTTTTCTTTTTCTTTCAGATTTAACAACTTAAGCCTTTGGCAATTTCAACCATGGAAAGATTAACAATCAAACAACGTGTTAAAATTATCGAACCCTTTTACGAAAATGGACGTTCAAACAGAATTTGAATTAAAAGTTCCCAGGTCGCATCATCTCTTGAAACAGCGAAGTCAATTGGCCACCCCGATCGTGTGACTTGACGCCTTTAGATTTCTACCTGTGGGGTCATCTCAAAAGTAAGATCTGTGCCAACAAGACAACAACAATTCAACAGCTGAAAGATGAGATGATAAGGCATATTGGTGAGATCAAGGAGCAACTATGCAGAGACGTCATCAAAGATTTTGACCATCGAGTGGAGATGTGCAGCCGAAGCTTTGGCGGACATTTGGGCGATATTATTTTTTTTTTATACATAATTACCATGACTTAAATAACATGATCCAATAGAGAAATAAATAGATTTTCACCAATAACACTGATTTATTTACAGCTGACTTTGATCCGTCTTAATGAAACACCTTTTAGATCTGGTTTCATTTACGTATTTCTGTAAAGAGTGCTTTTGTCGAGATGTAAAATCTGCTGATAATAATATTGTTTTTGTTTTTCAAAAATGTATTACTGGTATTTTTACTATAAAAAAATCTATCTTTCTATTTTCATAGAGTTTTGACCCCGCTTTGGGTGGTGATCTATTTGCCCCTAGCTGGGACCCTAACAGGTACTACCACCCCGGGTTAGGGTAGACCTGGGAACAACAGCAATTAATAGGGGATTCTACGCTCGCTTCTCAAAACCTCCCGATCAGATGCCTCGCTGCCGGTTGTAGTTCATCGTCATACCCAGGCTGCTAATAGTATGTATATTATTCAGCACACGCATCAATTTTCCCATTGTTGTGGACGCGCATTCAGAAGCATCGTTTCAACGCTCACCCGTACGCTACTAAGGCCCCGACACTTAGACAACCGATTTTCGTATCAATCGAACAATGGCGTGCGTCGGTCCATTTTGCCAGAATTCCCTGCAGGCTGCGAAAAAAAGTCTTTCAGGCAGTATTTCTTCATTTTAAGAATACGTCATGATATTTCGAACAGACGCTAAGTGCAACTTTGGCTACATTATTTTCCTCTCGGTGTATCTTCCATTTGTATTAAGACATATTGTGTTTGTTTTTAGTTGTTCTAGATGAATTGATCACTTATTTTGCACATGATCCATTGTGTACATAATTAGGTTACAATAAAATTTGTATCTCTATCTATAAAAGGCAGGATGTGTGTGTGTGTGTGTGTGTGTGTGTGTGTGTGTGTGTGTGTGTGTGTGTGTGAACGAATGCACGGCCGCAATTTTCGACGGATTTGCACCAAAATTTATATCCACATGCTCCAAGTTAGCGGGTAGGCCAATACCGACTTTGCATTTCCCAACTCTCTTCGATCGCGGAAATAATCGATTTTTTTTCATGCTTCTACGGCAGTTTTCATGTAGTTTGTGGCCATTTTCTACTGGCCAGAGTGAGAGCTAATAGCTGGCTGCCACGAATAGGCCGGAAGATTCTATTGGCCAGCGTGAGAGCCAACAGCTGACTGACACGAATGTTAACTAGCATGCTAGCATGCAAAAAAAAAAAAATATATCGATAGCTGCATTCGTCACAAGTGGGAAAAATTTAAATCTGCATGGCACTTTACTCCAATTGGCTCATTCGCTTGCTTAAACTCAACGTTGATTCTGATTCCGCAGAACTGGGTTGGTGTGAAAAAAGTATTTGTTGTTAACATTCTTTTTTTCATTTGTTTTTTCAAAGTTACGAGTCCTTTTTTAAAGCTGATCGTTTTGTGTTCATTTTGTTTAGTTCTTTTTTCGTAACAGATTTAATGTTTAGTATAGAGCTTAGAAAATATTCGCAACGTGAGATAGGCAAGAAGTAAGGCATGTAGCAACATCAGCACGGCAAAGGGCACTCCTTTAAAGGCAAGGAAGGGCAAAAAAATATTTTAAGTCAAATGATAGCGATTGCTGTATGAGTCGTACGATTTTTGAATCAAGCACGGGCAACGCCGGGCCATGCTGCTAGTATATATATAATTAATACGATATGAAAATTGAGATATAGTAGAATGCGTGACCCTCTATGATAGATTGGGTGGGTACAAGACCCTTGCACCTATGAGTCAATGTTACAGCTGTTTGGGATATATGTATGTACTAGTGAGCCAATCAAAATGAGCTGACTCATTTTATATCCACCAAGCGAAGGGTTAACCAATCAGAACGCTCAAAATATTCAATCCGGTGTGTATAAAGGCAGCCATTTTGTTTTTTCTCCCAAAATATCTTCACTGCCAACCTATGATATCGAAGACTTAAAGAATTACTTAACAGCTGCTACTTTCTCCGAATCTTCACTGCCAACCTCTGATATTGAACATATTACGCACTTCGCTGGATTTTATATCCAAAGACTACGGCAAACATGGTCAACAGTTAATATTTTTAATCTAATTTTTGATTTGAGGAAATCTTAGGCAAAGTGAATGGATACAGTTATAAGAAAATGAACACAGAAATCAACTTTCAGAACAATAAATTGAAGCTTGCAGAAACAGTTTATTTAACAAGGGCTACAGTTACTAGTTTAATCCTTTCCGATTCATTCCATAATGTGGTTTACTTAATTATAGCTGGTTTGTGTGTTAATATGTGTCAATCTTATTCAAAACATACTGAAAAACAATATCAACACTCTGGAGTGGTGACTGGTAATCAGTTCAACAATTC